TTCCCCCTGTGGTCTTCCTGAGGTGAGATCATGCTGTGAACAGACTCATCTCTGCCAGTTTGGCCATGGTTTTCATGCTCACTGTCTCTAAAATATATATCTCTCAGGGCTTCTCTCTTCTATAAAGATGAGTCTACCTGTGAAAATAAATCTCTGTCTGGATAAGTCTTTTTAAAATTATGGGAAACATGAATATGAATTCCTAGGATAGATACCACTCCCCCAAATCAGAGATTTTTATATTCTTCATGGAGCCTTTTTCCCTTTTCCAAACTTTCCATTAGGCAAAAAATATGGATGGAAATAGTAGACAGCAGAAAATTTCTCTAAGTATAAATATTTTCATAAGGTATAGCTTTTGGCGAACAGATATTGTTACATGCACTCCTTAAGACCATTTAAAATATCTCTGTGGAATGTCTTACATCTAAGAAAAGTTAAGAGTTTTGTATGGGGGTGGGGTGAGGTGTCGCTCCTGGCACATTTCTTAAATGACCACTAGGGGGCAGTAAAAGACACACATTTTTCAATAAACCTGGCCAGGGCCCGTCATCCATCCTCCACACCCTCTGTATCTCGTTCAGCCTTCCCAACTCAGTTACAAGATCATGGATTTCACTTCCGATGGCAGGTTTGGGCAGAAGTGGAGATACCATCAGTTACAGTCTAGCTGCTAGTCGCGGTCAGGTTCAGGCTAACCTCAATGCCGAAGACTTCACTCTCAGCACACCGGTCTCAGGCTGCCTTTGACTTAAGTCCCCTTAGCCCAGTTGCATCTCAAACAGAGTGCACAGCAGCCTCTCCCATCGTGCTTTTTACAAATTAGCCCCAGGTCCCCTCCCAGATCTATTAAATCTGATGCTGGGGCCTAGTTCTACAGACCATCTTAAGCTCTGACGTCTTGCTAAGAACCTGCGCTTTGGTCCTTAATTTTAACAACTTTAATAACTGGGGGAGAGGGGTTAGTGGGGAAGCGGAGCGTTACCCTTCAGTAAAACTCAGAAGAGAATGCATGTGAATCTTGGAAAATCTTTTTTCCTGTTCTGAAAGAAATTGCAGAAGGGCCGTTGGCTCTGGGCTCCACAGTGGGCACGGGTGTGAGGTGCTCCCTCAGAGTGGCCACATGACCCCAAGTCAGGCAGAGGCAGAAGGTCTGGTGCTGGGGCAGTCTGGCAGACTCAGGATCTCTCGTGGGAGCGCCAAGGAGGCCAGGCCCGGGGGCCAGACTGCAGTGTGAAGCCCGAGGTCAGACACCGACCCAGTCTGCTGTCTTTGGATAGTGTGCAGGGACAAGAAAGCAGTCAGGGGACCCGCCGCAGGTCATGGGTCTTCTCGACCCTCAGCTTCCGTGCCTGAGTTATGAGAGGACTGGACTCTGTTGGCCTCCGAGGATGCGCTGGGTCTCAGGAGCTCAGCGATTCTGTTAGTATTAATAATCTTGATTTGTATGGTATGACTCTGGCAAGGAGCTGGAGAAATATCCAGCAAGGTGATGAGTGACAGAGCCTATTGACCACGAAGTTTAATTTATTTAGGGCGTAGGCACTGAATTCAAAGGAGAAAATATTGTCCCCGATAATGTATTGAATGATTAGTATCTGCAGTATCGCGGAAGCTTTCCAGAGGGAAAAATTACCCATCAGTGCAAACTTGACATTTTTCACTTCCTGATCCATAACTGCCATTTCTCCCGCACACTTCTATTTACTAGAAAGGGCCAGATGTATGAACACTTTGGATGAATATTAAATAACTACATAAACGTCAAGGTCAGACAAGTTTCAAGCAAGGTTCACAGGGCCCTGGGAGGCTGGCATTGATCTCTCCTGAAGTTCCATTCTCAAATCCTGCTGACAAGGGGAAACAATTGCTGTGGACCATTATTAAGGCCTTAAGTGTTTCTCCATTGTTAAAGATCTTTTACAAGCCCAGAGTAACTGATAGTGCCCAAGGAATTGGCAAAAGTGTCACTTAGAAATATAGGCTGGTCAGAGAGATAAGTGAAACTGGAGTGCAGACTTCCAGGGTGCAGGCTGGGCCCAGGCCTCCACCCCTGCGGGGCAGCCCCTGCTCGACAGAGCCCAGGGGATGGTGAGGCTGCTCACACCGGAGGCTGCAGAGGGGGTGCCTCCTCTCTCAAACCCGCCTTTCCATTTCCTCCGGCTCCTCGCCCCTCCCGCTGGTCTCCATAGCTGCATGAAGGGTCTGACAGTTGTCGGGGTTGGGGATATGGCTCTGATCTCCTGCCGACTCAGAGACCCAGACAGACTGCTCTGGTCAGGGGCCCGGCGACTCCCGTGAGTGCCCGGCTGACCTGGAGCCAGGAGGAGAGCAGCATGCTAGGTGATCGAGGAAAGGCACTTCTGAGAAGATCTCAACATTCTGAAGGATTAGGCAGGTCTACTCGATGAGCCCAGCAAGAAGTACGAGTGATGAAACTGACAGTTCCCACGCACACTTCAGCTGATCTCAGCTTTGTAATGATCCAGTGAGGGTTGGTATTTCTTGCCCCATTATAAGTCGAGGAGAGCAAGTCATGGTGGTAGGGAGGGAAACCAGGCACATTAGGGACCTCAGGCGACATCCCAGCCCCAGCTCTGCTCCTCAGCTAGCTCACAAGTTACTTCGTTTTTTGAAAGGTAGCAGTAGCTAAGCATTCTGAGACCCGTGTGCCAGGTTCTGCATGCCTAGTCTTTTGTATTTGTATTTCTTTGCATTTTCAGCACAAGCTGAGTCCTATTTTGCCTCTGAGGAAGGCACAGGTCATGTAAATGACTTGTCCGGGGTCACACAGCAGGGCCAGCACTGAGCCCAAACATCGAGACAGCTTCTTCTCTCGCAGCTGCTGCATCCCCTACATTCTCTACACCCCAAGGGGATCCACGGTGCTACCTATGAGGCTGGTTGGGAGGACTGGTGTAGTGTGCCTACACTGTCAGCGTCGGCATGTTCCTCACCATGGGCAGAGCACAGCCAGCACAGACCTGGGACTGGCACCCAGGGCTCAAGACTACAGACCCCCTGCTCTCTGCACCTCCCTTCTCGAGGACAAAAGGGCCGGCCTCAGCATCTAATTCAGTGTCACCTGCCCACAGGTGCTCAGTGACCTCCTCACTCATTCACCAAACATCTACGAAAGCCCTGCTCTGCTTCCGGGGGTCCCCAGACGGAGGAAAAGAATGCAATGCTAACCATTCTTCTTGCCCTCCTAGGTTCGAATGGTGAAAGACGACGACCCCTCCTGGAAGCCCACTTTTATCGTGAAACCTGATAGTGGTTGTCAGGGTGACGGAATCTACCTCATTAAAGACCCCAGTGACATCCGCCTGGGAGGGTCCCTGCAGAGCAGGCCAGCGGTGGTACAGGAGTACATCTGCAAGCCCCTCCTCATCGACAAGCTCAAGTTCGATATCCGTCTGTACGTCTTACTGAAGTCCTTAGAGCCCTTAGAGATTTATATAGCCAAAGACGGACTCTCTAGATTCTGTACAGAGCCATATCAGGAGCCCAGCTCCAAAAATCTGCACCACATCTTTATGCACTTAACCAACTATTCCCTGAACATCCACAGCGGAAACTTTGTCCACTCAGACAGCATGAGCACAGGCAGCAAAAGGACCTTCTCCAGCATTCTCTGCAGGTTGTCTTCCAAAGGTGTTGACGTCAAGAAGGTCTGGTCTGATATCATCTCCTTGGTGATTAAGACTGTCATCGCCCTGACTCCGGAGCTCAAAGTCTTCTACCAGTCGGACATCCCCGCAGGCAGGCCGGGCCCTACATGCTTCCAGGTAACAGCCCAGGTCCAGCCTCAGTTTCCCACACAGTGGGCTGATAGGGGACACGTCGGGTGGAATGAAGGGCGGGAATGGGCCACGGCCACCCTGGGCTGGGCAGTCACCTCTGTGCGTGTCGGTGTTACACTGGGGTCCAACTTCCGATCGTTTCTTTGCTAGCTGTGGGCTTGGGGCAAGTTCTTTTTTTCCCCCACCTGTAAAATGAGACCGATAGCACCTTTCTTAAAGGATGCTTGTAAGAATTAAACAAGAGAACATACACTGAGCGCAGTACTTGCCATTCATTTATTTATCTATCGTCCACCAATTTTAACTAGTAGTGGCCAGGCCCTGTCCAAGGTCCTAACAGGACAGGAAGTCAGAGGCCTGCCATTGTGGGAGACAAATAATTTCAAAACAAGATGCACATAAGGTGTTACAAGTACTCAAAAGAATGGGGAAAATGTGGCTGCTGTGAGGTGGTGGGATCAGCTAACATTTTTCTGGGTGGACAGAACAGAAGTCTGGGAAGACTTCCCAGAGAAGTGGCAGTAAGAGTGGGCGTCACTGGAAGATGCACCACGAGTTTCATGTTACTGAGGATGAACTGGCTACAGGGCAGAGCAAGGCTGGGGACAGGAGGTAACTAGTGAGGGTGCTGGCTCAGATCAGGCAGGTCTTGGGGGAGATGGAACGAGTAGATCTGAGAGAACAGCTAAACTGGGCCATCAGATGGGACTGGGGGGGACAGGCGAGGTGGCAGCCAAGAGGGAGGGAAGAACTAAGTCTGATCACAGGGGTGTTAGGCATTTGGAAGGCTGGAAGGGGGCCAGGTTTGTGGGGGAATGGTCAGGGCTTGGACTTGAAGCTGCCTTCGGAGTGTCCATACCATATCCAGGTGGAGAAGCTGAGCAGGCAATTGGGCATTTGGGCCTGGTGTCCAGGAGAGAGTGGTCTGGGCTGGATCTGAAGTCTGTGATCTCTGGCCACTGAGCCCCAGAGGCTGCTGGTGAGCGGAGGCCTGAGAGGACACCCGGGGGCACCACCATTGAAGTAGGGGACAGACAGAGGAGCAGGACCCAGCAGAAGAAGCCAGAAGAAGTAGCTTGAGATAGAAAAGGGCGGGACGGGGTGCTGAGACACCAAGAAGACGGGCTCGGTCAGGAAAGCAGGGAGTGGCCCAGTAAATGCAGTTGAGGTGGCTTGGGGCCAGAAGCCGACTGTCCACCGTCCTTCCTGATGGGAGCGATCACTGTCCTCTTCAGGGCAGTGGGGTTAGGGGCCAGGGTGCAGTGGCCTGAGCCAGAGTGTGGAAGGGAAAACCCAGGGATGAGAGTAGGGTCACGGGGCTGGGGGTGTGGGAGAGGGAGCAGACACTCAGCTGTCTTCTGCCACCGACGAATCAGGGTGGGGAGCAGATGAGCGAGGAGACCATCTCTGGGACCTTCCCTCTACTGACCGTGATGGTGATTTTGTGACCGTGGATATAGAGAAAGGGACATGTGGGACGTATATGAAACAGAACAATGAAAGGAGAGTTCCCAGCCCTCCTCCCGCCCAGGATCCTCAGCTGGCTCGCTTTCCCCCACCCTGTTTCTCTTCTCACCCTGGGGTAACCATTACACTGAACTTTATGTCTAGCACTTCCTTGCTTTGAAAAACACTTGTACTATATAAGTACTGTCCCTAAACAATATACTGTTTTGTTTTGCTTGCTATGAAAGCACTATTGTGAAGTATGTAGTCTTCTGGAATGTTCTTTTCCACTCCTTGTTGCTGTGGGGTGTTGGGACTGTTTCATTTGCATTACTGGATTTTCCATTGCAAACGTGCACTGTTTGTTGACCAGCTCTTCTTTCGACGAACCTTTGGGTTGTTTGTAGTTCTCTGTGTGGTTTTCCATGGCGGAAGAGTATCAGGCAACATGGAACAGGGGGGACACCCAGGATGGCGTGTCTAAAGGGTGGGCCACTCAGAACAGCAGAACAGGAGGCTGGACCCTAAGCCAAAAAGGCTGGCCTGGGGGCTGGGTTTCCAGCCAGAGACCTTCAGAGGGAATTTGGGCAGCGATCAGTTCTAGGCGGGGCTAAATGTCACCCAGAGATCGCCCTTAGCTTTGCACCCCAGGCTGTGGTTTTCAGGCAGACTGTCCGGCTCAGCCGTCAGCTAGGTGGCTTCGGGTACTGGACTAGGGAACTGGGCTTAGAGGCAGAACTCAAGACATCAAAAGATTAGGGCAGCTGTGATGTGGAGGCATCCAGGGGTCATCCCGGGGGATTGTGGCCACAGCTGCTTGACAATGACAGCTATTCCGGGAGTGTCATGTGGACAGGGATGCACGGCCAAGCCACGAGCCCTGGCCCCGCCAGCCTGCAGGGCCGAGGGCAGCGGCCAGAATGCTGGTCACGCGGCAGGCAGGCTGTGTGTGAGTATCGTTGGGGGCGGGGGGGGGGGCGCACACAGGTGGAGCCAGCTGGAGCGGCAGGAACTGGAGGGAACAGGCAGGGAGCCGCTGCTTTGGACAGGTCACTTCCTGCAAATGGAGCCCTGGCCCGGCCTGCAGTTTTCCAGAGTTTGAGGACACTAAATGCTTCCAGGCCTGGGGGTTGGGGAGTGCGGAGAGCCCAGTGCTGGAAGGAAGCTCCAGAAGGAGCACTTCCTCGTTCCAGCTGTGTGACCTTGGCAAAGTTTCTTCAGCTCTCTGCATCTCTGTTTCTTTGTGCAAATCACCTAGCCTCCCTTCCCTACCTGGCTTCATAGCAGCAGTGTGAAGTGACTTAGGTGAAAACCCTCTGTCAAAGCCGTGAAGTGCTTGCTGTTGAAATGTGTTAGCACACGCTGCAGGCGCATAGAGACTGAGAAAGCATCCTTTCTCTCCTGGGAGTCCTCTTTTACCTTTTTCTTATCACTTGTTAAAAAACTCATTAGTTTGGGCCTTAAAAGTATGAACTAACTTAGTACCCAAAGATTTAGGGGTGACATGCGCTTCTGCCATCCCCTACTGTGTGTGCGTGCACGTCACCTCACTTCCCTGAGCCTCAGGTTCTTGGCCTTACTCAGAGGGCTGTTGTCCAGCTCACGCAAGATAAAGATTATGAAGGGTGTGGCAGACCCCAGGGCCCTGGGAATAGAAAATACGTTCTTTCTTTGCCATGAAGCCCTTTCCGCTTGTAGCTTGAGCCTGGCCCTGCAACATTCCAGAACACACACTCTCACCAACAAAATTACATTTATTTTAGACATGTGACCGTGACCCCTTTCCAATCACAGCCACAATAACTACTTGGGAAATGGTGGTGGCCCGAGCTGCTGCTGGCTCAGCTCAGGCTGTGGGCAGATTTCCTGTAATCTGTGCCTGTGTCCATGGCCACCCTGTCATTCCTGCCTGCCCTCCTGTCATGGCCAGGGAGCCAGCAGCATCTCCTCACATCAGTCTTCTTGTGGGCCGCAGTGTGACCTTGGCTTCAACCGTCAAGTCCATCTGGGGTAGATGATTCATGTGGCAGAAATCCAGCTCTGTTTTCAAGAACATTCTCTCTCAACTCCATTGCTTGGTCTCTGTCTTCCTGCAGCCCTGTGTCTAATTCTGTCCCTGGTCTGTGGTCCTTTCCCTTAGGTGTCTGGAAGTGACATCCATGCCCCACTCCCCTCTCTCTCCTCACCCAGTCCCATCCTTTCTCTTGGACAGAATTTGTGCTTCCCAGTTTTTTCAATTCTCCTCTGTCTTGGCCTGGCATGCTCTCTCCTAATCTCACTGTTTTGTGTGTGTGTGTGTATGTTTTTTTCAGTGCCTCCCCACAGGGCTACTCAAGCCCCACCTTTTCTATAAAGGCTGCCTTGATCTCGCCCGACATTTAAGCCTTCTCTAACATGTTCCCTGGGTACCCACTGAGATAAGCTCTAGACTCGTAGTGGGGCACCTTGTTATGGATAAGATACCATCCCTACCCCTAACTGGGACAGGGCTCAGTGAAGAAGACAATTCCTGTAACAGGTGTGGTAAGACCCTTTAAAAGAATGCCGGGAAAGCAGAGCACTCAGCTTTACCTAACCCAGTGGATGCTTCTAGAGGGAGAGATGCAGAAACTCGAATTCAGGGCACAAAGAGGAATTTGCCAAGTGAGAAATGTATATTCTTATCTGATATGTGCCACACTCTCCTGGCTTCCCTCCTGCCTCACAGGCTGGTGATCCTCTTGTCTTCACTTTCTCCCTAAATGGTCTCTTCCAGCCCATGATATTAAGTATTAATGGAAAGCTGTCAACTCCTAAATTTGATCTCCTGTCTTGCCCTCTCCTTGAGCTCCAGAGCAGTCTCCAACCACTTGCTGTCACGGTCCCTGTGGATTTCCAGTGGGCATCTCCTGACATGTCCAAAACAAACTTGATTTCCCTCCCAAACCTATTCCATTATCTTTCCTGTTTCAGCTGCTGTTTGATGCTATTCAGCTACTCAAACCAAAAACCTGAGTCACCCTTTTATCTTCTTATTCACTACTTCCTATATCAAATCCACAAGGAACACTTGCAAATAGATGTAAAGCACATGCTAAATGTAAGCACGTCTGATCAGCGCCATGGGTCCCATGCCACGGTCAGCAGCCATCAGCCTGCACTTGTACCATGGTGACAGCCTCCCAGCTAATGTCCTTATTTCCACACTTGCTGCCGGTAGCCTGTTTTTCCCCTCCCTGTAGCCAAAGTGATACTTTTCAAATATAAGTCAGGCCAAATTACTTTCCTTGAGCAAACTCTCCAGTGGCTTTCTCACTGCACTTAAAATCCTGGCTCCTTACCATGCCTACAAGATACTGCGTGAGTCGCCCCTTCTTTCTGTCTGACCTCATCTCTTAACATACTCCCTCTTGCTCACTCCTTTCTGTTTAGCCAAAGTGGGCTTTGTTCTTGCTGTTCTCTCCAGCTGGAATACTCTTTCTTAGATCCTCAAATGACTTATTTGTTCACTCCATTCAGTCTCTGTTCATAAGTCACCTCCCAAGACTTTTGCTTCTGCC